CTCATCAACATTTTGAACATTCATCCATTATGCATTTATGCATCAATTACAACTGATTCACTGAAATAGAAATGTTGGCCCCAAAAGGCCTAGGCTACAGCTACATCATCAATCATGCATCATCATTGCATGGCACTGAATTTAAATTCCCCCCCAAAATCACAAACAATTTGCATGAATGGCAAGTAAAGCCTAAAAAAAATATTGCCTTGGCGTAACCCTAAAAAAATATCGCCGACCCTTGAATTTTTTGGGCTTTCGTTTTTTTGTGTTTATGTGTACTTAAAGTGACAGCATTGCAACAGATTGAAAATAATTATTTTTTTTTTAAATGTTGCGACCGACCTACCCTATTTGTTAGGCCTATTACGCCTACGCCAACCCAACAATTTTTTAGGCCTAATTTTCCACAAAATCCACTGATAAATCCAAATGCTAAAACAAATAACAGTTATGTGAGCTACTCACCTTTAGTCTGTTCACCAAGAGGTCGTGCAATAGCGGTAGTTTTTGTCCTACGATAAGCAAACTGGGATACAATTTTGCTGTCTGGAAACATCATCTTTACTATGTCTGTGAAAACATCCGACGCCATGAATGGCAGATTGTGCCAATCTACGTAATCTGTCCAAAAGGTCTTGGCTCTGATGGTACCTTAATCTTCAGAAGACATGAACTTTCTGATGTCACAGCATTTACTGCTTTCGTGTGGCGAGACACATCATAACTCCCACTTCTGCGAGCATAATGTTTACCTCTCTGGGAAGGTAATACATGTATGAATTCAAATTATTCTGTATATTGCTTCCGTATTGGGGTGTCTTTTTTAGATGTTGAAGTCATCTTCATTCACGCAGTTTTACGATTACGTCGGGAAATTGTTTTGCATGCACATGAACGTACACTCCACAATGCATGCCGATCGGTTTGGTATGAGACGTTCTGATTGGTTGATACGTGCTCTACCAGGGCCATGTGTACATCGAGTACACCACTCACAAACGCTCTACTTTACGAGTTCGCAATATCGAACTGCGTGACATGTGGCTTAGTCGTGCTCGCAGCCGCTTTAGCTATTTTAGCTTAGATTTCACACAGCGCCCTCTTTTTTCCTGTCCGTGTCAACTTTATTGAAATCCGTTTTTTATGCTGATAACAACATACGATCCTATTTTCATCAATTTTTCCTACAAAATACGCCAAAATCGTACTAGTTGGCAGGTATGGGTGTACACAGAGAGCTAGTAAATGTGGGTCAACATGAGGGTCTAACCAAGGATCATGCTGGAAAGCTGAATGTGATTAAGGGGGAACGTGTGCTCAGAGAGCCAGTGAACGGGGGGTCAACATGAGGGTCTGACCAAGGATCATGCTGGAAAGCTGAATATGATTAAGGGGGAACGTGTGCTCAGAGAGCCAGTGAACGGGGGGTCAACATGAGGGTCTGACCAAGGATCATGCTGGAAAGCTGAACGTGATTAAGGGGGAACGTGTGCTCAGAGAGCCAGTGAACGGGGGTCAACATGAGGGTCTAACCATGGACCATGCTGGAAAGCTAAACATGATTAGGGGGGAAGGTGTGCACAGAAAGCCAGTGAACAGGGGGCAACATGAAGGTCTGACCACGGACCATGCTGGAAAACTG